TATTTAAAAAAATGTTATATGATTAAAAATCACACTTATTTTATAATCACGAACCCTCTCATTACTGAGGGGTAACGAAAAAAAGACCGATGCGCTGTGTGTCTATTGTGTCTGAATGTCTAATGTGTGTGAGTTAATTTTATAATTTCTTTAACGAAAAAGTTCTCTCACTAAGCAATAGCGTTTTGTCATTCATGTAGTCGAGCCATGTTCCAGGGCGTATTTTTCTATTATGGCTTTTTACAAACGAACAGGTAAACCACTTAACATCAGGTGGACTGAGTGCTCGTTTGTCACCCTATCCTATTAAAAAAAACCGAGCACACAGTCCACCTGATGTTATGTGGATGCTGTTGTCCATAAACATCTACATTTATCCTCACTTAAGTATCAAAATGCAGATAAGTTATCACTCCTGAGGAATAAGATGGAATACCTCCTTTCCAGTTAAAAGTTTGTCCGGTTCTCAACACCACCATACGAAACACAGCAGCATTAAGTCTTAGCGGCCAGCCTCCGCAGAATCTACTTCACCTGAGGATGCCTTGTGTAGAGGCGAAACACGTGTCGTATTTTCGAGAGTGGTGTGTCGTGCCTAGTGTGTTGGTGCTGGTGCTGGGGGTGGTAGTGCTGAGATAAACGGCGACGGGTATAGTGCGCGCGATTGAGGGAGGGTGGGAGGTCCCCTTAAAACTGGGCAGGACACATCATTTTCTTTATTTACGCGGAATTAGGCAAATTAGTTTATAACAACCCCAGCATTAAGTCTGCTATTTTACGCTAGTATTCTATGAGAGCGTGGTCCTTCCCCGGTCGAGTCATCCTATTTGCGCTAAAAACTAATATAGCTGCAGCATAGCTCTTATCTCTATATAATATCTAGCTTAAGTAAGTTTTTCATGAGTCCGCTGCTAAAACATTTTAAAGATAACATGTAGTAGTACTCATTACTGGTAGTATTCTCTATATGTAACTCGGGATGCCTATAAGCCGCAGTCATTACCGAGTTTGGTTGAATATTCAGCTTATGACTACATCGTTTAGCAACACCCATTAGTATAGTTAAGCAAGTGAAATAGAAAACAACGCAATATCCAACGTAATATATAGCTACAGCATGGTTCTACCACGTATAAAACTGTAGGCTCAGAAGGAATGTATAAACGGAGTGAAGCGAACTTACATCCAACTGATGGTAAGTGGCTACTGCAGCCCATGGACACCTGAAATCAACTTCAAACATAAATGGCTTCGTAATCGTTGAAATCTTTGAGGATAAAGGAGGAATGCCTGACTACCTTTAATTTTATTGGCTCTCTATACTCTTCAGACCGACACCATGCAGTGCTGTTTGGAGACAGAAAGAGGTAAGAGAGTGGTATCAACCAAACGGACTAAGCAGAAAAGTAGTCCTACTACCTACAAAAACATGGTGAGTATAAACAGCTGAACACGGAATGCTTTGTAATAGTTCCGAGGCTCTCAAAGTATTTGCGGTTATACACTTAATCGACGGTAGACGTGGATGTCTATAGGTTATAGTATCCACTTATCATCAGGTGCACAGTGTGCTCGTATATCACCCTTATCTATAGAAAAACATTTCATTCTCTAGCGTCCAAAAATACCAACATTAAAGTAAGGTCCAGTGGAGGTAGTCTGATGAGGTGGGACGTTGACACGTATGACATACACCTGCTCTTCTATTTAAGAAGATAATTGAAAAAAAGATTGTCAATAATGAATAAATGAGGAATACAATTTATCAAAAATACCCCGTGTAGTGGCGGGTAAAAATACCCACTACCCCATATTTTCCCGTAAGTGTCGTAAGAGGGCATAGGGAAACTGAGGCAGAAGACGGGCAGCAGCATCGTTCTGATAACAGCAAATTACAATAAAAAACTGCGGTTGCTAACTCGCTTGGCAAACGCGACAACTATGGCAATATACCCCCATAACGAGAGTTAAAAACAGACAGCCCCCAGTCCTCAGCGGCCCCGCTATTCCTGGCTACGCTGGCGACCCTGGTAACGGCAGGACAGGGGGTGCTAAGAATCTCCGGTGGAGGTTCGGTTGCCACCTTAGACGATTTTACCTGGCAACATACAACGCACGCACACTGAGGACTGACGAGAAAATCCTGGACCTGGAAGAAAAGGTAGATAAGTTGCACTGGTATATTATATGATTATCTGAGCTCCGAAGAGACGGGGAGGACACGGTTATCCCCGAATCCGGCAACTTGTTCTATCACCGGGAGGGTGATCATCTATCCCAAAGAGGTGTCGGACTTATCGTCCATAAGTCTCTCGTTAACAACGCAGTAAAGTTTGCGAGTGTGTCGACGTGGGTTGCGTATCTTATACTCAAATTCATCAAATGGTATTCGTTGAAGGTAATACAGGTTTACGCATCAACCTCGCCACATCCCGATGAGGAGGTGGAGGAAATAAATGAGAATATCTCTAAAGCCATGCATTCCTCAAAAACCCATTATAAGGTGTTAATAGGAGACTTCAGCGTAAAACTAGGCACAAAAAGAGAGAACGGTGAGTTGAAGGTTGGGAAATTTCAAATAGGGCAACAAAATCCAAGGGACCAGCAGGTGGTCAACTTCATGGAGAAAGAGTGACTCTTTATGATGAGCCATTTATTCCAGAAGCAGCCCCACAGGAAGTGGACCTGTTCGAGCCCCAACGGTTCGACAAAAAATAAGATTGACTTCATTGTGACGACTAGACGGTAACTGGTCAGTGATGTCATAGTGATCGCGAGGGTGAAAATTGGTAGCGATCACCGAATGGTGAGAGGCATACTAAACCTAATCGTAAAGTTGAAGTGGTCGCATAAAAAATCAATGCTCCGCCCTCCTCAATCCAAACGTTTGAAGCTCGAGTAGCAAACCGTTTTCAGTGCCTAGAAGATTGCAATACAGTGGACGATATGAATGACAAGCTCGTGGAAACAGTTCATGTGATCGGAGCTAAGTTCTAAAAGACCCGCTACAGAAGAACACAAAAACTCTCCGATTATACTCTTAATCTCATGGCTGTTAGACTGGAAACGAAGCTGCAGTCTTCAGCAGATTTGACAGCATACAGGCAACTGAACAGACAGTTTTCAAAATGCATGCGGCAGGACTTATGTAACTTTAATACTGCTCGTATTTAATAAGCGATCGAGTGGGAGCAAGGCCTGAAGTCTTTGCCAGAGGATATGTCTTCCAGTAAAAGCCAACTGTCGAAGCTAAAGACCGAATGTGGTAGCATCACATGCAAGTGTGACTAACGATCCAAAAGCCAGTCTTATTCGACACTATTCTGATGATAATCCGGACGTCAGTCTGAGTGACATAAGAATGGCCCTTCAGCACCTTAAAAACGGCAAGTCACCTGGCGATGATGGAATTACAGCGGAGCTTCTGAAAGCGGTTGCAAAACCGGTACTTGAAGTTCTTCAGAAGCTCTTTAATCCCGTTCTCCATGGTTGCACTACTCCGGAGGCTTGAACTGCGGTTGTCTTGTTATTAAAGGAAGGCTACAATGCTCTCTTGAAGTACTGTTTTCAAGAGTCGAATTTTCTCGCACGCAGAATCGATGACCTCCAGTCTTCCAAGCACATACACACCCTTCAGCAAATTTTACAGAAGGCCGAAGAGTACCTTTTGCTACTTTTTCGTGTGTATGTGAACTATGAGAAAGCTTTTGATTCCGTCGAAAATTGGGCAGTTCTGCAGTACTTTCAGCGGTGCCAATTTGACTATCGGTATATCGAAGTGCTGAAGTATTTGTACAGTAGGACTACGATGGCTATCCGAGTACAGAACCAGAGTACGAAATCTATCCTACTGCAGAGAGTTGTAAGACAAGGTGATGTATATTACCGAAACTTTCGCCGCTATATGGGAAGACATTTTTTTAAGCTACTGGACTGGAAAGCATACAGTATTAAGTATTGGAAAGCATATGGCGAGTACATTACTCACCTTCTATTTGCCGACAATATAGTCTTTACGGCAAAATTGCTACAGGACCTAAGCACTATGCTTAATGACATCAATAGTGTCTTCCTACGGTAAGGTTTTAAGATGAATATGTACAAAACAAAAGTTATATGTAACGTCTTTGTCACACCTATGCCGGTAGTTGTTAGAACCACTAAGCTCGAAGTTGTTGACGAGTATGTTTACCTGGGACAAATATATATACCTCGTACCGGTAGGAAAAGTGTGGGACCGACCCCCACTACATGGAGTAATGACCTGGTAAGATATGCAAGAATTCAATGGATTCAGGTGGCTCGGAACAGTGTTTTGTGGCATTCCTTTGAAGTGGCCTATGTTCAGCAATGGACTTGTGATGGGCTGTAATGATAATGATGATATCAATAATGAATATGTATAGTTTGGTTGTTTGTGACCCCTACCTTTATGGAAATCACCCCAACGTCATATTTTACTACGTTATAACAACCAATTCTTTACTCAAATATCGTTGCGACAACTTTATTCTCGCTTTGCAGGGAGAATCTCTTAACAAAATTATTTACTTCAAGTAAACTCTTAACTTGCACTAGAAGTTTCTTCACCAAATAAACACTTGGTGAGTGTTTTATAGTCAGTGTTTGTTTACGTCTAACGTAACTCGACCATAATAAACTAAAACTAAACCAATTCTGTGTGGTGGCGGTGCAAGAAAATCCATCATCCATGTTAGTGGATTTCGTACGTGACGACTATAGAAAATGTCGGAAAATATAATGACGTATGTGGTGCCTGTAAAAACAGTTTATCCCTTCATTGCATGATTTAATATTTTCTTGTAGAAAAAATCATATGCATGTAATTATGACCTAAGGATGTGTTAAAAATAATAAAAAAATTCTGCGACCTTTTTTTAGTATTTATTTTTTGAAAAAAAAAACCATATGATGGATATTTACATCATTATGAAATTAGTAACAATGAGCTTAGTAAAAATAAAATAATGAAAAAAAAATCAGTCTTTGTGATAATTTTCAAAGCAATTATTGTTTTTATTAAGACACAGATTGATTCCACATTTGCTGCATCTTATAGTAGAATTTCCCTTACACTGCGGGTACTTACAACGTAGTGAACCTCCAACTTGTGGCCAATGATCAACACCGTCTTTTCTTATGTCCTTTGGTAGAGCAACAACTGCTGGTCCCCTCTTCCTTTTCGCCTGTATTTCGTTCTCTAAAGAACTGGTACTGGGACGACCTCTTTTAACTTCTGTGTCAGCTCCTATTCTGCACAAAACTTGTGCTAATTCATTTCGAAAGTTGCCCATCGAAAGTATATCCTTTTTTGATATATTTCTATTTGCTGCATTTTTTTTGTACAAGATCCAAGAATTAATCACTGTCAGATCAAGTAGATGGAAAAATATACGTAAATACCAGTTTTTGAACCTTAATTGAATGTGGAACCTCCCTAAAAAGCTGTCCATTAAGTCCACCCCTCCCATATGCTTATTATATTCGTGGACGATTTGTGGACATGGAGTTTCTACCTTTTCCTTTTTCTATTTACCATATCTTGTGACGCTAGACATTGGTGTTGCCCCAACATAGGTCTATAAAAGTATTAGTATCTTGTTGTCTTTCCAGGTGACACAGGCCATCTCAATGCCATCATAAGTAGATGTTCTTTCTTCATGACTGCTTCTTGGTACTGCCTTCTTCATAAACTCTTTCTTTTCAGGCAATTTCGAGTTAGGTATCCTATTCTGCTGGACAGTGCCAACAGAGTAAATTCCTTGTTTGGCTAGAAAGTAAACTAGAGGCAGTGATGTGTAAAAATTGTCAAAGTACACAATATAATTTTGATATCTTGGTACACCTCTTAGCAAACGAATTACTACATTCCCTGTAGCTCCTATGTCAGGTTCTCCTTCAAGTATCCCTATATCTGCCTATCTTGGTCAGCGCATATTAGCAACTTAACCTGCCGTATTAGAAAATTAATACCAATTTTCAGAAAATTGAGGAACTCAGCTGATTTTGAAACCTTGCTATGTGTTTATTATGCCCTTGCTCAGAGTTTACTATAATATTGCATTTTAATCTGGGGTGGAATTGGAAAGACCACTCTACTCCCCTTAGAACGTGCACAGAGAGCAATATTAAAGGTTATGCTGGGTAAATCACAAAGATATAGCACTGAACTTATTTATAAGGAATGTTCTGTACTTACTGTAAGACAACTATTTGTCATGTCTGTTATACTACGTAAGCACAAAAATACAGATTTTATACCTAATTTAAAACGTAATAAAAATAGAATTTGTAAAATGACTTTTCATAGAACTGCTCTAGCCCGGCGCAAATATTATGTCATAAGCAATCATTTATATAATGTAGCAAATAGAATAAGCTATATTTACCCTATGTCCCTTTATAAATGCAAGGACAAAATTCTATATTGGTTGCTAAATCTTAATTACATGGAAACAGAGAGGTTAATGAATTTTTAAATACTAACACACACACACACACACACACACACACGCACACGCACATTTATTTTAACATGTTTATGTATTGTACAGCGAAATGAAATTATTTTTGTACTACTTAGGGTGGAAGACGCTGACGGCTGTAACACAGTTTATACTAGTATGGCCGTTAACGCTAACTTCTTTGAAATGTTATTTTGTAATTTAAAATAGATATAATACATAAGTGTAATTTGTCAAACTGAGAGTCCAATAAATTATTATTATTATTGGGGTTATCTATAAAAATTTCTCATTTGGTTGGGCTGTTTAAATATATAACTATAAACGAAATATATAAACATACATAAATATCAATAAAATAGTATAAATACATAAAAAATACATAAATATATAAAAAAACCCAACCAGATGGAAGGCCTCGGCAGGGGAGACCAAACGGCCGAGGGTTAGGGGGAAAGGGAAAGAAACCGGCGGACGATGCGGGCGGTATCGAGGAGCACCGCCTTCTGCATTTGAGCTTGGAGCGGTCCGTCACGGAGTCCCAGTCGCCTCAGATGACCCGAGAAGCTAACTGGGATTAACCCGTTCGCAGAAACGACCACAGGAATAATTTCGGCCGGCAGACCACCCCACATTTCGGTCACCTCGTGAGCCAGGTCCAGATATTTTGTCAGCTTATCTGTTTCGGCTTTCACGAGGTTCTCGTCATAGGGAATGGTAATGTCGACCAAAAATATCCTTGACTGTGCCCGGTCCATCAGCACAATATCAGGCTTATTCGCAAGAATAGTCCTGTCTGTGATGATGGCCCGGTCCCAGTAGAGCCTGGCGCGGTCATTTTCGAGCACGGCTTCCGGCAAGTACTTATAATATGGCAGTTTCCGATCCACAAGACCGTATTTCAGAGTGAGCTCCTGGTGTAGAATCCTGGCTACTAGGTTGTGTCTGTGCAAATACTCAGAGTTAGAAAGCGCCGAACAACCGGAGATGACATGCCTAAGTGACTCACCGGGATGGCGACAAGCTCGACAGATGTCGACGGTGCCATCCTTTAGGATGTATCTCCGATAATTGTTGGTCTTAATAACCTGATCCTGTATTGCACAGACAAAACCCTCAGTTTCCCCAAAGAGGTCACTGAAACGTAGCCAGTGGAGGGAAGCGACTGTGTCTACGAAAGGCTCATGAAGGGCCTTGTAGAACCTCCCGTGGAGCTCCTTCTCCTTCCATACGGTCTCCCGGTCGGAAATGCTCTGTACTGCCGGGTCTTGCCATTGCTCGTTGGCTAAGGATAGAGGGGTTAGCCCTTTATCACAAGAAATAACGTCCCTATAGTATGGATCATCCGCTCTCGTCAGAAAGTAATTACGGAGGCTGCACACTTCGCGATTATGCATGATAAGCGCGCTTAAAAAGCCGCGCCCACCATGCTTTCGCGGCAAGTACAGCCTCATTACTGACGATCTCGAATGATGCATCCTGTGGGACGTCATTATAGTGCGGACTTTTCTGTCCAGAGCGTTCAGTTCGGTCTGAGTCCACCTGAGTATGCCAAAGGTATACATGAGAACAGGCATGATCCAACCGTTATATGCGTGCGTCTTATTCACACCGGACAAAAGGCTATTAAGCACTTTGGTCAAACGTGCATAAAACACATCGCAAACTGACCGTTTCATACCCGACTCATCTACACCGATGTTCTGTGACATACCCAGGTATCGGTATGTTTCAGCTTCGGAAAGGGTCCTTATGCTGATGGGCATAGATAAGTCTATGCCCTCAGAGTTAGCAACCCTTCCCCTTTCGACATGGAGGATCGCACACTTATCCGTCCCCAGCTCCATTCTAATAGAATTGCTAAAATCACAAGTGATGTTTAGCAATTCCTTAAGATGAGAGTGACTGGAGGCGAATAATTTGAGATCATCCATATTGAAAAGGTGGGTCACTTTTGTACCTCCTCTCCGAAGCTGAAATCTCCTCCCGGAGCCCTCCAGTAAGGTACTGAGAGGGTTCAGAGAGAGGCAGTACCAGGTTGGACTCAAACAATCGCCCTGGAAGATACCCCTTCTTATCCTTATGTGGTTCTCCGCAGCCGTCATCCGCTCGCCTAGATGACAAAGGATCGTACTCCATTGCCCCATACACTGCCCGAGGAAGTCTCGAACTGTACCGTCAACCTTGTACAGCTCGAGGACCCTCTTAAGCCATGTATGAGGCACCGAGTCGAATGCCTTTTTGTAGTCTATCCAGGCGGCGGAGAGGTTCCGACGGTTGCGTTTAACCACCTTGCCAATGACCGCGTCAATGAGGAGTGGTTCCTTGGTTCCACGACTACCGCCCCGACATCCATTTTGAGCGCGCGACATCACCTGGTTTGAGTTCAGGTGACGAATGATTCTCGCGCTCAAAATGGATGTTAGTGTCTTGTATATGGTAGGTAGACACGTTATTATTATTATTATTATATTTCCCTGTCCTGCATACAATTCAAATGTATGTGCATATCCAGATAAATCGCAAAGTACATAAAATTTGAAACCTCATTTATGGTGTTTATTTGGCAGGTACTGTTTTAGAAAGTGTGCAACCTTTGTTGCACACATCTGCTCATCTACTGATAGCCGTTGTTCTATAGGTAGTGAAGAAAGCTTTGTTTTGAGGTGCTCAATAACTGGACGACTTTTAAATAAACGGTCATGATCTGCTTAGCCCACAGGTCTATGAAGCTCATTGTTTTGAAAATGCAATGCAAGTTTGATTTTTTTCAAATTTGTTGACTGGCATTGTGGATGAAACTGGGCCATAACCATGAACAGGGTGCCAATATGCTCTGGTATTTTGAAATTTTTGCAATGACATGAACAGCAATATCCCAAAAAAAATTTTGATATCTGATGCTGTGTTTATTATTTTGTTATTAGGATCTTTTTGCATGCTATATAAATTAGCTTCTGCTACTATTTATTAAAAAATATTTAAAACATTAGTAAGGAGTTTCTAACTGAGATATTTCAGAAGGAAAAGATGAGCAGCCTAAGAATCTAATTTTGTCTTCATCAAAGTCCATATTTTTCTTTTTCCAAATAAGTTTTCTCTTGTCCAATAATAAATTTAAAATATTATCACTGTGGGATCTATTTTGAATTTCTGCTCCTAGTGATTTTTCAACCAGAGGTGGGTCTTCTTCATTTACTTGCTGATCATCTTCATTATCATTTCCATCATCTAACAGATGTAGAAGTTCACCTCTAATATAGTTTAAATTTAGTGGGTCATCATCATCAGAATCATCAGCTTCTAGTCCGTCTTCTGACAGTCAATCGTCTTCCAGTTGTGCTAGTGTTCTATTTCTTTTTCTTGTAAATTACTCTAAATACAACAAAAATCATACAAAATGTAAAATTTCATGAACAACAATTTCTCCATACTACAGGTATGATCATACTGCATACTGATGTAAATTTACATCATACCACATAATTTTCGATATATTTTTAGTGTTACAAATGTTAGCAGATTCTAAAACATTTACCTTATTTCCACTCATTATGAATATTTTCAACAACTCCCGTAGATCAAAACAAGCAATATAACGTAATTCTTTTGCACCCTTACAACAAAACTAACAGTCACCAGGTAACTAAATTGTGATTGTCATTTAACGTTGACGTTTGTTTTTTTTTTCGAAGTAAATACGTTCTGTTTCATTCATAAATATTTCAAGAAATTGTCAGATGCAAAAATATCAACACCGCCAACTGATTTGTGTGTTTTAACTTGTAAACCGTTTGATGGAAATTTCCATCAAGATGCAATAAAGGGTTAAATAACAAACTATTCATTCAGAAATTTAGAATGACTTAAAAAATAAACGATCGTTCCATGAAAAGTTAAACTGGTATTTTGTTTCATAACTGGATTTTAATTCACTTAAAAACTTACTAAATAAAACTTACTAACTACATAAAATAAAACGAAGCATTTTTAAATATAGAAACCCTGCATTGGTTGATTCTCTTACCGCTACACTATATGCCGAACAATACAACAGAAATATGTTGCAATGCTTCACTGCTAGGCACAGGCACTTTGACACTTCAGCTTAATATAAAGATATATGCTTTTGGTTTGAGACGAAAATTTCAAGCTCGAGTTACAAAATAACGTTCAGTGCCTAGAGGACTCCAATGCAGTGGACTAGATAAATGACAAGCTCGTGGAAACTGTCCATGCGGTCGGAGCCAAATTCTGCAAGACCCGTCGCAGAAAAACACAAAAACTCCCCGATCACACGTTTAATCTCATGACTGTTAGACGGGAAATCAAGTCGCAGTCGTCAGCAGATTTGACAAGATACATGCAACTAAACAGACATATCTCCAAATGCGTACGACGGGACTTCAAGTCAGTTTTGAAGAAGCGATCAAGAAGAACATCCAACACTTCCAAAATATTTGCTAGAGATCTGTCTGCCAGAATTAGCCAACTGTCAAAGCTGAAGGCCGATTGTGGTAGCATCGTGCGGGACACCTGAGATTTTATTATAGTCTCTTTTAGTCATCATCTTGTTACAATAGATTATAGTTCTATGGCTATGTTTTGGGTTTATCTGCATGATAAACATAGAAATGAGGATATCCGCAGTCTAACTAGAGTAAGTAACATAGCCCAACTAATTTATAAGCTTAAGTGGCAATATGCCGGCCATATAGCTCAAAAAATCGACAACCGATGAAGAAGTAAGGTTATCGAGTGGTAACCTCGTACTGGTAGGCGTAGTACGGACCCCACTAGATTGGAGTGATGAACTGGTAAGACATGCAAGAAGTGAAGTTGCAGGTGGCTCAGGACCGTGCTTTGTGAAATTCCTTGGGGGAGGCCTATGTTCAGCAGTGGACTTATGAAGGGCTGTAATGATGATGATGATACTTTTGGAGTTTAGTATAGGGAGCGTTTTGTGCAACATTAAACGCATTATATCTTTCAATAACTTATATTATTTTATGAAATGCTTTCAACCGTCAGTTTTGAGAAAACCTTTAAGCGTTTCATTATCCGCTTCATTGAACTGTTATTTTGCCTCGTGCCAAGAAGTCTACACCTTATGAATATTTAAGTGTGATACAACAGAACAAAGCAAATTATTTACATAAAAATATTACGCACGGCTAGGAGAAGCACGGTAGACATTTTGCCTCATAGGCCTCTCAGAAATGGAGGAGGCCTGTGCCCAGCTGTGGGACATAATATATAAGTTACAGTTTATACAGTAACATTTTATTGATAATAAAGCTTCTGCTCTACCTAGGTTATTGACTGGATACTGTATTACAGTAATAATGTAAAAGCTAGTTTTAGCCGACTTCAATCATACTTATTTTTGTATGTATTTTACGCGTATATCTTCATCATTTGTGAACTGATTTCTATGTTCCTTCTTTATTATTAAATAGGTAATACTTCAGAAACTGTCACATAAATTTGTGAAAAAATTCTAACTCTAAGGGTGGAAAAATATAGATGAAATTTCTAGTGTAAGTAGTTAAGCGATATTCTATTTGTTACATTGAGCATTTAATATTCCTTAAACCACTTAAAAGAGTAAAATAATTAAGTTTCTAATGGAAAATATAGAAAACAACGCAAAACTGAAAAAATATTTCCAAAGTAGATCAACTTCATTCCATACAAGCTTGGGCCCGGCGTGAACAAAGTTAAAATATTTCTTATTTCGAAGATTCATATTATGTCAAAAAATCATAGTTTTGGAGGACCTGGCGTTTTTATTTTTATTTTATGTTTTATGATTTGTAGGTTATGTAGTAAAATCATTCGTACTTGTGATAAGTTGTTTGAATAAATTGAAAAGGACACAAAATAATGTAGTTTTGTAGTTATTCTTAAGTGAAATACAATAAAACTCAACCTATTTTAATTGTTTCGTTATTTTATGCAATAATTTATAATTATAAAATTTCAACTAGAAAAGCAGCCGGAGGCTGTACTTTGTTTGTTCTCTTCCTCTCTTTACCCCATTGGCACATTATTGTCATTATGTAGGCGCAACAACCTAATGTCCTGTAATTCGAGACAAAAGCCAAGGGTCACCACAATTAAATCCACCAAAGTAAAAACATGAAATCTATCCACACAGCCACAATGCCAAATGCACAGACTAATTAGTAGATTCTACCGCCAAATGCGCATGACAATTGTTGTTGTTGTTGTTTTTATTATTCGCTCGAGGGAGCAGGCAAAGGAACTATGCCATAGAACCTTGTCTTTTTTATTTTGAATATATAGAATTTCACTACTTTACAATATGTTGATGCGTCACATTGTGCAGCCCTTGGGAGATTTTGACGGCAACTTGAGCCAGCAGACAGCTGACAGTTGGCGATGGTATCTAAAAACAAACAGCTTATCTTGGGAATCTATCACCATCAGAGCACCCGTTTCACCGTTTCCACTAATAGTTCACATGCGTAGACACTTAATACACATAATCGCACTACTTTTACATATCAAATTCCACTTCAAACTATTATTAAAACTATAATACAGGAGCAGCAAACCGCTGCCGGTCAAGTTCCCGCCAAAACTCCCGCATGACAATTGACAATGACAAGTTCAAAGTCGAAGTTACCAAGTTAAGTCTTCTTCGGAACAGGCAATGATCAATGACCATACAGCCTATTCAGTCGTGTCAAATGTTTTTTTTAGTTTAATGCAAAAGTTTATTCAATCTTTTTTCTAAATTAATATCTTTTATTTAATATTATTATTTACAGATACACCTCAATGTTTCAATATTATGATATCTTTGGTAATGAAGGCTAATTAATTATACGATAGCCTTCATTATCTATTGCCTTAAACAAAATACAGAAAAGTATTTAAAAACGTTTCGATTTTGCTATAGTAAAAGCATTAGCCTTCGTTTTTCAGTTTTAAAAGTTTTTATGATTGTCCCATGTATTACAGAAATAAAAACTATTTATTTACACTTATAATTTATTGTTTTATTACGTACATATTTTTGTATAACTGTTAAGAACGATTTCAAGCACCCTATTTCATACATCTCCTTTTTATTTCTTTATAGTTATGAAGTCGGTTTGTGCTTTCGATAAAAGTTTAATTATGGTGCTTCAATTTTAAGATTAAGAGCGAGTCAGTATTATTACAGGCAATGAACATCTTTACGTGGTTGCAACACGAATGTGCCGGCTCGACCGAGGGAGGACCACTCTCTCACGTAATGCCAGCACGACATAGCAGCTATATGTTTCGTATAGTGAGTGTAGAGAACCTGAGATCCTTTTCATTGGAAAAAAAGCATTAAATCTTAGTCCTCAGCTGTGACAACACATATGCATTATGA